ATAACACTGTTGATTATTCCGTGTTATATGAATTCCATGTTGTACGAGTCACTTAGATTTTACAAATACGTGAGCCGTTCACAGCCCGGCATACGTATTTGTAAAATCTAAGTGACTCGTACAACGTGGAATTCATATAAAATGGAATAATAAACGGCGTTATAGGGGGATCGACCGTACTCAATGTTATATAATTTTAGGAGGGTGGGTGCTGAGGCGCAAGTGATAGTGAGCGCCGAAGTACACGACTTTGTGCATACTGGTATGTGGTAAAACTGACCTTCGGAGGTGAATAGCTCGTGAAGTGTGTCATGTACAGGTTTGGTTCTGTAGACTTTTTTGTTGGCTGCTCATATCTGATTCCAGCAAACAAAAGAAAGGAAACAGTGGGGATGCACGTTCTAACCTAACCTAACGTAACCTATTCTAATAAATTACCATAATTATTACCAATTAAATTATTAGAATAGGTTAGGTTAGGTTAGAACGTGCGTCCCCACTGTTTGCTGGAATCAGAGATGAGCCGCCATGACAGTCTACGTATCTGGACTTTAACCGAAGAGGTATATGAGCTGTTTATTTATTGACTTCTAATAAAGTTTGACACTTACTTTTTTGATATAAAAGCTTAACAGATCGAACAATAAACGTATATTTCGTTAATTGGTTTTTAGATTTAATGAGAAATCAACCTTTTAAATGGAGGTGACGTAAGGTCTCACGAACATCAAGACCAAACGACTTTTATAACTGCGAAAAATGGCATTTTTTAACTTATTTTAACGTTAATACACGTTTATTACGAATCTAAACAGTCTCAAATCGATTTATATACAAAATTCGACTTTAAACTTACCGATTTTATTCGCTAAATTGACAAAAAAAAGTCTGATTAATGGACATTTACTTCGTTACATCATCAAACAACATGGCGGCCACCATACAGACGATATTCGATAAGAACGTAATAATAATAATAATTAAAATTTATAAATCAAAGCTACAATATATTTATTAATAAATTTCTTGATACTTAATTAAATAATACATGTAACTTAATCATCATCATTTATGTATTTTTAAAATTGAAACAGACGATAAATGATATATCATAAAACAATACGGAGATGGTCGGAACAATATTTATAAATATTTAAAGTTTTACGCTTTCGATATATTTATTAATAAATTGTAGGAGATTTAATTAAATAAGATATATAAAATATTTATTTATTTATTTATTTAATATGATAAAGGTGAGAGACTGTAGTGATCGGGACGAGAGTTTGTCGCCATTTTGATTTAGAAGGTTAGGTGAGGAAGTGGACGAGGTAAACAAATTGTGAGTTTATTTTATTGCGAATTTATGTTATTTAGTTGAAGGAAATGTTATTAAAGCGAACGAATTCCGTTTATATTACGATTTTATTGTTTAAGAATGTTTTTGAGTGGATTATTTGACGAATGACCTTCGAGAGTTTACAAAGGCAGACGACCAGACGAATTGTTTCGATTTTAAGCACAAAAAAGTAGAGTTTTATGATTTTAAATAGCTTTTTTATTGCAATTTTTGCACTTATTACGCAATCTATTTGTATGGGAAGAAATTTAATACATTTTCAAATAAAATTAATGTTTTTTACAAAATAATTAAATGACCTTTCATAGATGGCTTCCTCATCCTGTAATTAGGTTGCATAATGTTCACTTTGCATAAAACAGACACGTGTTTACATGTTTGGGTTCTGTCCACTACGTCAATACGTTACTGTTATAGTGCTTGGGGATTTATCTCCGAATGACCTTACCAGAGCTGTAGACCATACACATAGGGTGCGTTTACTTTTTGCTAGCTTCCAAGCTCGCCGAGCTGACACCTAGCGCAGCCTGACATCATACTAGCACGCTCGTAAAAGTATACACAGTAATGGACGCCGCCATCTTTGAACAAACTCCAAGCTCGTTGTAAATTCTCCGAGCACGCCGAGCGCGCTAGGAATGCTAGCAATGACATCACGGTGCGAAAAGTAAACACCGTGCTCATTGGTAGCTAACAAAAAGTATACAGGCTAAGCGCGCTAGGGGCGAGATCGGAGCTAAAAGTAAATGCACCCATAGGAGCAAAAAGTCAAGGGAATTTTATCTCTTGGTGAGATGCAGCCCCTGAAATTGGCCTACTTCAGGTTGCAGGCAATTGCAAGTTTTGTCACTCAGCTAAGACTATCGTGTTCATCTATTTAGCCTGTGCAACCTTTGCCAGCTTTGAGTGTTTGTGGAATACAGTCGACCCCCCTATAACGCTGTTGATTATTCCATTTTATATGAATTCCACGTTGTACGAGTCACTTAGATTTTACAAATACGTGAGCCGTTCACAGCCCGGCATACGTATTTGTAAAATCTAAGTGACTCGTACAACGTGGAATTCATATAAAATGGAATAATAAACGGCGTTATAGGGGGATCGACCGTACTCAATGTTATATAATTTTAGGAGGGTGGGTGCTGAGGCGCAAGTGATAGTGAGCGCCGAAGTACACGACTTTGTGCATACTGGTATGTGGTAAAACTGACCTTCGGAGGTGAATAGCTCGTGAAGTGTGTCATGTACAGGTTTGGTTCTGTAGACTTTTTTGTTGGTATAGTACGTTTACAATTCGGGGGTGGGTGGATATAAGGATTTATTCAAATTATTATATTAAATTTATTATAACTATGCAAAAGTTTAACCCCTCATTGAGTCCATATCTTATTATTTGGGTTCTGTGTATTACAATAATACATTACTGTTAAAATTTTCAGGGATTTATCCCTGTTTTTCTTTAATTAGTTGCTGTTATATTGTACTTTTATGTGGATTATGGATAGAATCAAAATCCCTTAAGAAACTGGATGTAACACAAAATCCATCAGAAATAATAAACTATGAAATTAAATGAGCAATTATTCATTGTGTCATTCACACGGTTCCAGGTTGCATTTTTTGTTGCAGTTTGCTCAATTTTAGTAGTGTCTTGCACCTGTATATCATACTTTTCCTGTTAACATTGGGGTCATCTATCTAGCTCAGTGTTTCCCAATGTGGGGACCACGCCCCACGGAGGCAATTTGAAAATGGACTCATCCAGAGTTTTAAGTTAACCGTATAGCCACTGTATATGTTAGGGGAGCATAAGAATTTTAGAAAGGCTTAGATGGGGCATAGCACAAAAAAGGTTGGGAAACACTGATCTAACTCCATTCTGGGAAATATTTTTGAATTGAAATAATGTGACTTCTAGTCCAAACCAGAAGTTAATATATAGTTAATTGGGGTCCTCCTATCCCTAAGCTTTCTATATCTGGTCTTGACTTTCATCTCTCTAACTCCATTCTCAAGATTCAGGAAGGACAGACAGATGAATGCCAGTGGAAATTTATACTGTAGGTCTAGTTAATTTATAAAGTATGCAATACACTTAACTGTGGGTGAGACACGCTAATGTTTTTAGTGTAGTTATCAGGCCATGTTTGGGGTTGAATAGACATTCCTCTTATTATGCATCGTGTTTGGTTTAAAATCTCTTGTTTTTCCTTTTTCTTCAACTTAATAAATTTAAGCTTTGATTCATTATAATAAAATGAAATAATATATTTAATTTATTTAACCTTTGACTATAATTTGTTTCATTTTCTTGTGTAAAATGATTTAACGTATAGCTTTGTCTATCAGTTTTGTTATGTAATGTTTACTTTTTGTTTAATTGTAATCTTATGTAAACAGAGCTTTGTGCCAGATTTAAACTTTACTTTTCTGTTTCTTGTTTCTAGTGGAACAACAAAAAAAAAAACAACGTACAACTTACATTTATCATTTAAAATTTAACGATTCTTTAAGTTTTTTGCATACTATTGTTGAATTAATCAGAAGTTGAAGAAAAGTTTCAAACTTTGATCTAATGCAATTGTTTTCAACTGGGATTCTGCAGTGAACTCCAGGGTGCATAAGTTGCTAAAGAAGGTAACACTCAGGCAGTCTGCCATGGAGGACTTTCTGAATTGAAAAACACTAATCAACTTATGTAGGACTTCGATAATTTAAAGGTGGTTAGGATTTTTAGCATGTTACTTTGAATTTTTATTTTTAAACATTTCACTTTGAAATTACTGCAATAAATTTTCATAAAATAGTTTATAATTACCAGAGGCTTGCAAGTGATGTACTTTTTAATAACATAAATTGAGAAATGGCATTGCTTATTGATTATAAAAGAATAAAAATATAATGCTATCCGCCATCTTAAACTGAAAATAGTTTCTTTTATTATACATTCATATGAATATTTTTTTATTTGATAGTATATTTATTTTGATTTTTTAAATTATACACACATTTTTTTATGAAAGATTTACATTACGTGCTTTATAAAGCTGGGTTTATGCCTGAGCTGTTTCACGGTCAGCGATGAGTAAATGTCATCAGATGGTTTCATGTTATTTTTTACAAGTTGACTTGCAGAAACTAAAAAATTAATGGAAATTTGCAATTTTCTGTGCAGATATGTTAGTTATTCTATTTGGAGTTCCATCTGACCTTTACTCCTGGACTATTAATTTAGCTATAACCATACTGCACTGGGGATGACTTTAACAGTTTTGATAAAAGTGATAACAAAACATTAAATTTATTATTGTTTTTATTTTTTATAAAAGAACAGGTAATCCAGGCTCTTAGCAATCTTAGAATACAACTCGAACACCAACTATATAGTGTATTCACTTGGACACAAGGCAAATCTCATCATTAATTCTTATTCAGTTGATCAACTAAATAAAAATTAATGATGAGATTTGCCTTGTGTCCAAGTGAATACACTATATAGTTGGTGTTCAGGTTGCAAAACAATTACCGGCACTGTTTATAAGTACTAAATCTTGGAATACACCGAGTTTATGGAAATTACTATCCCATGTTAATGAAGATGAGTGCAAGTGCATAAATATGTAAATTTAATTGAGATTAAATAGAAATTAATGTTAGACTTCTACTGTCAGTTTGTAATTTCTGTTTATGGTCGTCATACTTTGTTGATTCTTCGAGAAGTGATATTTTATCTTTGTCTTGCAGGTGGTCAATGATATCACTATTGACTCCTGTCAATAAAGCCTGATTCACATTACCGTGCCAGTTACATTTTTGTCAAATTATGTCAAATATACCAAACCAAGACTTGAGCATTACTCATAGTGTAAATACATATGTTGAACACAATTGATAAATATTTAACCAAGTGACTTGTTATTATTGGGTTTGATCTATAGTTAATTTTAAGCATATTTCTAAGACTGTTAGAAACCCTGATATCACTAAGATGATTGTATCATCATCATCTGTCCTCGAGTTATTTTTTTGTAATTCGTTAAACATCACATAATAATCAAATATTTCAATACCATAAACAAATACTAATCTTATGATGATTAAGCAATGAATAGAACATTTGAATTATATTAATTGATGGTGAAAAGATATGTTTACCTCCTCATTAGTACTTAAAATGTCTTCTTTGAGGTTTGAGGTTCATTTATATGGGCTTTTCCAAATAGGAATAGTTTTTAATAATGTATCTTGAGCTCCACCTTAGATAATATATGAATATGTTGCATTTGCATGGCAATTTTCATCACAACTTAGTTGATAAAATAGTTTTAATGAGGAGAGAGAGAGAGAATTTTAACTGTTCCTTATATTAAAATTAGAAAAATAGCAGTTTTTAACACACAAAATCTTTTTTTCTTATTTAATTTTTTTTTCAATTTTTAGATAGCAAAATGGCAAGTCATATGTTGAAAGTCGCTTCGAGACAGTTACCTTCAAGATGTATATTTAATACATTAATACAGCCATCTGCATCTTATTATGGAAGAAGTTTGATTGGCAATAGAGATGTAGTTGGATATGGTATGAATGGATCATACATGTACATTGACAGATTGGATTTTCCCATGCCGGCAATAAGATTTAAGGAAAATACTCCTGACATTATGGCTTTGAGAGAGAAGGAGAAGGGTGATTGGAAAAATTTAACTATAGAAGAAAAGAAAACTTGTAAGTACAAAATAATTTTATTTAAAAAAACAAAATAAATACAATTTAGAAGCTTGTTTTGAACTGATGAATCATCAAAAAACATTACAATTATGAAGATCAGTTTGACTTCATAGTTGACATCACAGACTCATTCACATTTTCAATTATATAGACACTTACACTACATTTACACTAAAATTAAACAAGTTTAAGTCAGTCATAGTATGAACAGAATTAGTTCTGTCAAACTAGTTTAAAACATCGTAAAGCTATTTACATGTAGTTACCTAAGAAGTTTAAACTTATAGAGTAGTGAAGCTTTGTCATTGCACAGGTCTTGAACAGAACCAGATGTGCTGCCATTATTTTTCATTGCTTAAGAAATATAATTGTGCTCGCTGAAAATTTGGATGCTATTTTAATCAGAATTATGATTTCAACACTTATATGTAACATGTAGATTAAGCACAAGTGGCCATAATTCAAATTTCTGTATTCAGAGAGCACACTGTAGCTGTAACCAATAGGCAGATGTACTGTACACCAAAATTTGTGTACAGATTGTGCAAAGGATGCTAAAAAGGATTTTACAAAAAAGAAGAAAAAAGTTTAGAAACTTCTGTTAAAGGGATGCTTTACTGAAAAAAAACAAAAACATGTTTATTTGCAGAAGGCATGTAAGAAACATGCCTTTTGCAGAGGCTGTTTACTGATGTAAGGAATGTTGCTTAATGTGTGCCCCATTGTTCAGGTGTAAAATCTAAAGCTGATGAAGTGTTTACAGCTGACCATAACTGCAATACCAGGGTTGTCTGACCTTTATTCCTAATGGACCAAATTAGAAATTTAAGTGTATTCAGCGGGCCACAAAGGTACAGTACTTTATATAAATATATGCTTTTAAAAAGTTCAAAATGTGAATATCAAATTTTAATAACAAGTACAGTAGAGTCCCACTAGTCCAAACATCCTCCTAATCCGAACATGTTTCAGTCAGTGGAGAGGAAATTTTTTAGCTCGCAAAATATACGTTTTTTTGTATTTTCCAGTTGAATTTAAATGGTATTAATGGTACAAAAAGATTTAAATTCCACAACAATAAAAAAATTGTATTTTATTATTGTACAAAATTAATAAATCAGTGTTTGACATGACCTATTAATTAAAACAGCAGATCTATACTGTACTTACACACAAAAACAGAAGCAAAAGTCATTGATGGTGTTGGATGTATATAAACCGGACCTGTTTTACTGCATGCTTCTGCATTATTTCAATTATTCGGCTAATTCGAACAGGGTTCGGTCCCAATTAGTTCAGACTAGCAGGATTCTACTGTATACATAATTACAAAAATACTGTATTATTGAAAGTAAAAAAAAAAATTATACTATCACAAAATAAAAATTCAACACAATTTTTGACGTTACCTTCCTTTTATAATATTGTCAATATTTGCTTTTATGGTACTAGTCTTAATTCTAAGAATGTTAGTTAAATGGGAATCACTCAACCTATTTCTTTCAGCAGTTTTGATGTTATTCATGCACAAAAAGAATTGTTCACAATTAATATGTACTACCCCACGTGCATAACAATTTTCTAGATAAATTGACAACTTTACCAAATTCATTGAAAGAATGTACTTCTTTATAAAATTCAAGAAGAGATGTTCTCTATGATAAGTTTTCAAAGATTCTCTGCTTTGAAGTTCAATGAGTTATCCCTTTCCACTTTGGCATTAGGCGTAGTTTTGAATCACTAAAAATGGCTGACACTCTTTAGAAAAGAGGGATTGTGTGTCTTTTTCATCTGCCTGATGAAAGGTACCCATTCTTTATCACTAACAACATCACTTCATTACAAAAATCTTTGAAACTGAAACAATCAAAATGACAGACCGCACCACCTATTTTTTGATTGGAAACTTACAAATTATGTCACTATGAAATCAAAGTGTATTCAGTGAAATGAGAATAATTATTATGACATACTTTACCAAAATAAATGAAAATGTACCTAATAAATTTAGGGATGTCCAACCCATGGGCCACAGTGCAGCCCACGGGTTGGACATCCCTATAGAGTATGCATATAGGATCATATTACACTTGCATATAGTAAAGCATATTACACTATATAGTAAAGAATATAGGATCATATTACACTTGCAGTGTAATATGATCCTATATGCTTTGGTAGGTAAACAGTATAGTTTGGAGTATGGAAATGATAATCTCTTATTCCAAGCAGAATCCCTAGAGGAAGTTTTTGAACTAAATTTTTTTTTTTAAATTTTTTTCAGTATCCTTTGTGTAATCTGTATACAAATTTTGGTGTCAGTCTGCTTATCGGTTACAGCTAAGAGTGCTCTCAATAGGGAAACATTAATTATGGCCATGCTGTACATTAATTAATGTTTTTAGCTGTTTGATTCATTAATGAATATGGTCATTATGCCATGCAATAGGAAATGATTTGACGAAGTTTATTAGCTATTATACCATTTAGAATAATTGCAAACGTGTTTGACTTTCCTAGTGTAGTCAGTATTAAAGTCATAATGATAAAGTAGTTTAGTGTAGAAGTCGTTAATTGTTTTATGTTGTGGAATATAAAATCTCATAAAGTGAAAAATTGATCAGAATGGAGTTTTGCAGATCATAGATTATATAATGCTGGACCAAAATTCTGACTTCAAGAAAACCAGCTATTTTTGAATTTGGTGGGTCGAAGTACCGCACAGTCACTTTGGTGTGTTGGACGATTCCAGTTTCAGTGTCACTTCTGGCATGCAGTGTTTTAAGTACAATTTCATTCTTTATTTTCCATGTGTTTTTTCAAGTAACTGATCAAAATACTAATTGTTTGGCTACCTTTTTAAATTGTCATTTCTGATTTGTAGTACATTATTTATCCATTAGTAGACTTTGCTATCGACGGTCTGTTCATTTCTTTGACGAGGAACTAAATGATTTGAAGAGTTGTTTCTGTTCAGGTAAAAAAAATCCAAAAAATAGAAGGACACAAAAATGCTGCAACAAGTTTCAGTTTAATGAGACACAAAACTTTCCTGTAGTTATGTGTTCGTTATTACAAGGGGTACGTTCGTAAAGTCGAACGAGTTAAACGCGTTAGTAACGAATCGTTCTAAAAGTAGTAGTCTCGCTCAGTGCGCATGCTCTGCGGTGGTGACGTTTCGAATGAAACTCTAACGAAGTTCACGAAGGAAAGAGTTAGTTCACTTCGTTAAGAAAATGGCGGCCGACGATATCGATATTTCTAAATATACTGGAGTGTTTAAACTGAATTAAAAGGTGAAATGATAGAAATAACTGTCCACCCGAAGCAATCTAAGAAAAATACTTCGGATAAGGCTGCACTAACAATATTCATATCTTCGATTTTAGATACATCCATTTAGTTATAAACGAATCGTTCGAAAAGTCTAACTAAATAAAAATAACGATGACGTCATTTTCGTTTAACTCGTTCGACTTTACGAACGTACCCACTTGTTGATCACCTACTTCAAAGAGTACTCTAAAATGTTCCGCTACTAGCGGGCGCCACCTCCGCTACCAATAATAATAATCTACTCGTTATTGCCTGTCCTCAGCACTAGAAGACGGCCAGCCACAAGTAAACGTAGGCGGGATGCTAAAGCCTTGCAGCAGGCGTCCAACTTCCCACATTAAGAAGAAGAAGGTTTGTTTATCTTCGTAATACAATCACCATATATTTTGCAAATTTATTTCGATACAAAAGTAATAATAAATGAGTAAGTTTTATGTGTTAAGTATATGTGTATTTTGCATATAATTAAATAGCGAAGCGAATATATAATTAAAATACGTTATTTTACTTATCCATAGG